CCTCAAGGTGGCTCACTGCGGACAACCGTGAGAACTGGCCCAGGCAGAGTGCTTAGGGCCTTGCGTTCTTGGCACAGCTGCTAAGAACATAGAGGGACATTTAGGTTCCGTGGCGATTGAATGAGTGAGGGAGCAATGTCTTGCCCTGGCAATATTTTATGACTAACACAATTTTTTTTTCTCCTTTCCAGGAATCATTAGAACAACAAACACAACAAAACCTGTGTCTCATTCAGTTGACACCTCATAAAGATTTATTTTCACAACATTTAACATCTGTTAACTATGATGTATTTTTTCACATGACAAAGCAGTGTTTTTTGAAGCGCCATGGCAAGCTAATCGACCACATAACGTAAGTAAGAAGAATAAAAGTGAGTGTAAAAGTAGCAATTTAATGTGAGAATTATACTTTCATGTTAGAGGTCCAATTTTTATATTTTGTGTATCTTGATTAACAGAATGAGGTACCATATTTTCACTCATCTGTTTCTCTAAAATACTTCCTCCTGCCTGGCACGCATTTTGAGAAAAGTATAATTATATTTTCCATGAAATCTCCTGAGTTAATTTTTTTCCTTCTTGTATTAACCTTCATGAAGAAGTAGCTAGCTTGCCACTGGCTGGGATGGAGAAAGTTGGCGTGATTGATGGAATACCCACCATCTACCTTGGCATTGCCTGTTCTTTTTTTAAATATATTTCCATTGATTTCAGAGAGGAAGGGAGATGTGGAGAGAGGTAGAAACATCAATGATGAGAGAATCATTGATCAGCTGTCTTCTGCGTGCCCCCTACTGGGGATTGAGCCCACAACCCGGGCATGTGCCCTTGACTGGAATCGAACCTGGGACCCTTCAGTTTACAGCCTGACGCTCTCTCTACTGAGCCAAACCAGCCAGGGCTACATTGCCTGTTCTTATTGGTTCTGTTTCCTAACCAGAGTAGGAATGGATCATTGTACCACCCTGATTTCCCTGCCCTGAACTAAAATTTTTGTTTCTACATAAAGCTTGGTAAAAAGAGTTATTATCTCCTTTGTATCCACATAACTGTAATTTTTATATAGGGCTGATGTGTACAGTAACTGAATGAGCTGTTAGTTGAACAAAACTTATGTAAAAATAAACATTAAAAATGGCAGTAGACCAGTAAAAACAATCCACTATTTTTTTATCTTGTCCCCTTCTGGTAATGGTTGTTTGGGGGGATGGAGGGATGGGATGGAGGGGGATCAATGGGGGACAAATGGATAAAGTCAGTCATCTAGCCACACTCACCAAATATATATACTAGAAGCCCGATGCACGAAATTCGTGCAAGGGGCTTGGCTCTCGCAGCTGCGGCTCTGTCTGGAAGGTCATCCAGAAGGTTGCCTGCTCTCCGGTCTATTTAGCATATTATGCTTTTGTTATTTTAGATATGTATATATGAAATTAAGGAACAAATATGGTAACCTGTGGTGCTAAATGTTCAAAATTCCCTTTGAGATCTCTGAATTGAAAGCATATTTCCATCTGTGATGAGGATTCCATTCAAAATGAAAAAGTATTAGAAATATTTTCTACCAAAATATTTTATTGCAGTTGTTCTTATTGTCAGAGGCTCACTGGTGATTTCTTGATAGGCTACTACATAAGGCAGTTTTCTGCTGTTTAATTTATTCACCAGTAATCTATATAGATCTATATATATATAAAAGGCTAATATGCTCAGTGTCTGACCATCGGGTAATGACCTCACATAGCAACACCTGGCTTCCTCTCCCTAGTGACAACTAGCCTCCTTGCAACTTCTTCAGCCCAGGAACATGACTTGCTTTATTGCCAGGTGGAAACATTTCACACTTTAACCAAATGTCTGTGAGGCGTTTTCCCATGCCTCATCTCATTTGATCTTCACAGAAGTCCTGGAGTAGGTAGATAGGAGACTCGGTGGAATCCTATGTCTTTTCATTAGCCAGGAAACGGATTTACTGCTGTGTTGCGGACAATTACCTGAAAGAGAAGTTGGGGTGCTTCACTGGGCTGGAAAAAGTTTAGCTAAATCAGAAAGGAGGTCTAATTAAGCAAGTTTATTCTATATCTATAAAAGGCTAAGTTGACTTGCGCATTCGTGATACCTACAAAGTTCTCACTGGTGCCAATTGCATGAGTGTGTTTCCATCTGTCATTGTTGATTGTGAATTTCGTTGACACTTCTATTATACAGTAAGGGCAAATAGCGATATTAAAATATTCCTTCTAATTATTCTAATTAATTTCCTTTCAATGTGAACGAATTCATGCACCGGGCCACCAGTTATATAAAAATGTGAAAGATTCCCTTTGAAACTGCCAGACAGCAGTTTCTGCTGTTTGAACTTACTGAGTTTTTACATGAAGCTAAATGGAGTTAAGAATATTTTTGCAAAGAGAGTTAAAGGATGAGAGAGGTAGAAAAGGATTTTTTAAATGTTAAACTTGAATTTTGTGTAGGAATTGATTAGAATATGTTAACACCTATGTCTGCCATGAAACTTTAGGAATAAACATAGTTAAAGCTATATATTATATGCAAGCTCTTTAAATAAGATTAATTATATATAGTAAGATAGGCATTTTAAATTGGGCTTGGAAGCCACTTCTATCTATATTAACTAACAGTTGTTATGAAAAAGATTTAAAAATTTACTTTGAATTTTTTTTTGCAGTTCATTGAGTCCAATTGATGCAATGGACATATTGAAGAAAATAAGACAAGATAAAACAATAAAAATAATAGACATGTATCCTTCAGACTTTAAATGCCTTTTTGAAACTATAGAATGTTCCAAAGATCACACCTGTAAGTGGCTATATGATGACTTCATGGAAGATGTAATCGTATAGGAAACCGGACTGCCAAGACAGTAGCTGGAGCCGTTTATTTTATTTGGAGATTATAAAACAGTTGAAAAAGAACTAAGTTTTTAAAGCTCACAGTGTTTCAACAGAAGGTAACTATTCTTGTTTTACACAAACAAGGCAGGTAATTTCTTCTGAAGTTGATACCATTAGTACATTGGATAAAACAGTGGCTGCTATTTTATTTACAACTGAATAAAATGAAAACTTCACTTAATTGTGGATTTAATCAGCTTAGATTTGTTTTTTTTAAAATCCTATCTACTGTCAACATACTGGTAGTTGTACGGAATTACCAGATGAAATTAACTTGTAAAAATCCTTTTAGCTAAATACTTACATTGCATTACTTTAAATATTCCACTTTTACTGTTGGTTTTTGCATCCTCCGGGGGCAGTGTTCATTTTTAAAATTAGAAAGTAAATTAAACTGATTTAAATAGTTTGTTTTACTTTTCAGTTTGTTGAAAGGATTAACAAATACTGTGCAATTACATTTTAAAATGGCTTACGCTTTTTAGAAATTAAAATATTTTTTAAAAGATTTTGTGATTTTTTTTTTTTTGGTTGTTTCAAATGAAACAAAGTTGACCCTAACTTATTCACCTTAAATTCCGTCATGTATGGTCAATGTACAGTCAATAAATAATTCAGTCTGTTACTAAACGTCTCTTGCATTTTTGTTCCATCAAGAAAGTTTATCTGAAGTTAGACCTTTACTACATGAATCTAAATGAAATTAAGAATATTTTCTTAGCTCTAGCCTGTTTTGCTCAGTGGATAGAGCTTCAGCCTGCAAACTGAAAGATCCTGGGTTCGATTCCCGTCAAGGGCACATTCCCGGGTTGTGGGCTCAATCTCCAGTGGGAAGCGTGCAGGAGGCAGCCAATCCATTATTCTCTATCATCATTGATGTTTAGATCTCTCTCCCTCTCCCTTCCTCTCTAAAATAAATAAAAAGTATATTTAAAAAAAAGAATATTTTCTTAGGTCATTGAAGAAGCTACTTTATTTTAGCTGAGACATACATAATCTAAATTAGAGTTGTTTGCTATTATAACACTTCGTAATACTTAAGGCATATTACTAAGTAACTCTTTGTAGGGCATATTCTTAATACTTGGCCAAACCAATTCTTCCCAACTTCTCCACTACTGTCATTGGTTTACAAATCAATCTGGCTGGAAACCACATCCTCTTTTTTCTCTCAAAATTCCTGCTGTTACATAATCTGCCTAATCTTCATAATGTCATTCAGTCTTCCCCTCACTGTTACTTTCCTAGTCCTATGCTTTAAGCCTAAATTTGTTACTAGGTTAGAAGAACATCAGCTGGGAAACATTTTAAATGTATTTCAGAGGGATTGACTGATGGCTTTTAGGAAGCTGAATAGGGTCCAAAACCCAGAGAAGCACATTTTGCTCAACCTAGATAAAAGGAATTGAGTATGGGTTCTAATATAAACATATGCTGGGGTCAAAACATGAACTAATGCCTTCCTTACAAGTGGTATATGCTCTGAGAGAGATCAGGCAGTGTCACTTCCGACAAATAGAAGAGGGCATTTAAGATAGAATTGTTAACTGCTGTGGGAGTTAAGGAAGAAAGGGAGTTAAGGAGGGACAATACAGAGGGTCCAGCTAAGGATGGAAACCAAATTTATAGTGGTATTCTACACTGTTGTGTCATTTTAGGACTGGAGCAATGGGGAATGTGGATGATTAGATGAATAAAAGTCGTGTATTAAGATTAGCCGTTAGGTCTGTGCACATGGGAAGTTAGTCTGATAGTGTCTTTCAGGTAGGATGGAAGTGGGGCGTGGCCAAGTCTGTTGGTCGGAGCATAGTTGATGGATGTCTCCAGCTTCTTCCCCCACTGAATCCACCGCTGTGCTTGTGCCCAGGCTGCACCTCCTACAGGCTGTTCCCAGGCAATGATTAAGCATGGTGAAGACTGCCACTACTGGCATGTAAGAAAAGCTGTCAGTCTTGAAGTAGTGGACCTAATTCCACGTTTCATGCCAAATAGCAAACAGTTCTAGCTGTCTGGTGACACACAGAACTCTGGCTCAAGGACTCCCTCCCTCTTGTACTGGCTAAACCTTTCTTGGAATTTTGCTGTGGTCCAGAACTTCCTATCCAGTCTTCTCTCTCTCCTCCCATAGAGTCCTGCAGTCACAGCCTGAAGTACCTCATGCCTTCTGCTCCCTTCTCTGAAAACCTTTTACCTGTCTAATCTTGTCTTAGCATCTGCTTCTCTGCAGACCCAAACTAACACAGGAGTCATGGCATGCGAAAGCAACAAGAAGGAAATGGTTGAAATAAAAAGTGTTAGAACGCCAGTTTTAAGTCATTAAGACTCTGGTATTAAGATACTAGAGGTAGCCCAGCTGGTGTGGCTCACTGGTTGAGCATCCACCCATGAACTAGGGTATCACCATTTGATTCCCGGGTTTCAGGCTCGATCCCCAGTAGGTGACATGCAGGAAGCAGCCAATTGATGATTCTCTCTTCATCATTGATGTTTTAATTTCTTCCTCTCTCTGAAATCAATAAATACATTAAAACAAAAAGATATCAGAGGTGGAGTGATTGCTGGTGATGACAAGTTCCAGGTCTGGTGCCAAGCACTTCAAGGTTAAGCAATTAAAAAGATTTTGCCAAAGGGCCTTTTATTTTTGCTGATGGCTGAGAATAAAAGATGCTCACTGGTCTTTTTGAATCTCCCAAAACCCGAAGAGCTTGGCAGAATGTTCAAATGGAATATTGGGAACATTGTCGGGTCTCTCTGAACAAAAAGTTTTCACTAGAAGAGTGAAATAGCTGCCTATACCCGTGGTCGGCAAACTGCGACTCATGAGCCACAGGCGGCTCTTTAGCCCCTTGAGTGTGGCTCTTCCACAAAATACCACGTGCGGGCTCACGTACAGTACGATTGAAACTTCGTGGCCCATACGCAGAAGTCGGTTTTCGGCCTGGGCGAGTCTATTTTGGAGAAGTGCTGTTGATATTTGGCTCTGTTGACTAATGAGTTTGCCGACCACTGGCCTATACAATTAGCTCTAGGTAAGATCATGGTGACCGAAGATTGTAGGAGGGTGAAGACCTTGCATTATTACAACAGGAGAGTCAGTGATATTTAAGGTTCTTTGTTTTTTGGAATATTAGTAACTTTGCAATAAGAAAATACTGTAGATGTTTTTCTCTAGAATTTATAAGAATACAGTATGTAAATTCAGGAGGTGATTGGTGCTATATCAGTAGGGTAAACAAAAAAAGTTGTGTGTTATAGAATATTACCATTTGTTCCCTCATCACTAAATTGTAGAATGGCATTTAGCAGGTTATCTGGGCCTTGGGTTTGCATGTGCAAAATGAAAAGGATTTAACAATGTGGCCTTACCTGTGGTATTATCAAAAAAGCATCTCTTATAAGGAGGAAACTATCTCCTTTGTCCACCATACAGGGAAAATCCTCTGCAAAATGAAGTCACAGAGAAAGCAGAGCTAACACGAGGAAGTAGGCAGACACCATTCTGCTAACATTTGAGTCCCTGGCTTCAGCCATACCTGAAGTCATCCATATACATGTCCAAAGCCAAGCAAATGCCGAAGCCAGTTGATTTTTTGTTGTTGTTGTTAAAATTAATTTTGGATGGAATTCTATGACTTTCAACCAAGAATCCTAATATAAATACTATCTTAATGGCACTCATCAACAGCTTCCGATTCCTACATTACCACAGGGACTCTTCTCAATCTAATTACTAAAAATTAGCACATTCACTCCTGAAGTGATGACGGGTTAGTGACCTCCAAGCCACAAGCATGGATCTTTGGATTAATAAAAACAAGAAAGGTCTTTTTTTGTTGTTCTTTCATACCCTGTCAGTATATTATTTATGCCATTCTAAGGCTTGAAAGAGCAATTCTAGTTATCTGATGAGACATGATAGACTTTTGTTGTTGTTAATCCTCACCCGAGGATATTTTTCCATTGATTTTTAGGGAGATTGGAAGAGAGAGGGAAAGACAGAGAGAAACACATCGATTGTTTGCCTCCTGCATCAGCCCTGACCAGGGCCGGGGCTGGGGAGGTGCCTGCAACTGAGGTACGTGCCTTTGACAGGAATTGAACTCGGGACCCGTTGGTCCGCAGGTTGACACTCTATCCATTGAGCCAAACCAGTTAGGGTGAGACATGATAGACTTAAAATAATCCAGTAATTCTTGATTAAATTTCATTTGGTTTATTACTAAAACTGCTGGGCAATTCTGTATTAAACATTTATAGCTACTGCTTAATTTACTTCTTGCTAATAAAATAGTGTGTTAAACTTTCAATTAGAGTTTATGGGAAATTGAGCACAACATTCTATGTTCGTCATGCTTTTAATCTGCTCATTAAAAGCAAGGATGTAAAAATAATGGAACAAATAGGGTGAGAAAGCATTGATTTTTCTGTATTTTTAAAATTCAATTTAGATTTTTGATGAAAGCTAACTGTGAAGCCAGTTAGTAAGGATTTTCATTGGAAACATCAAATATTTACCAAGACTTGGAGAAAGATAGTTTCAGGATCCTACCTAGGATTTCCATATGATTTTGGAATTGAAATCTCTACTCCATATGTCATCAACTCTCATAACATCATCCAGTTCTCTTTAAATTTCTTCCCCTGGCTGGTGTGGCTCAGTGTTGAACGTGGACCATGAACTAAGAGGTCTCAGGTTCCATTCTGGGTCAGGGCACATGCCCAGGTTGTAGGCTCAATCCCCAATAGGGGGCGTGCAGGAGGCAGCCAATCGATGTTTCTCATCGAAGTTTCTATCTCTATCCCTCTCCCCTCCCCTCTCTAAAAATCAATAAAAACAAATGAATCAAATCAAGCCTCTGGACTCTAACATTTACAGGAAATACAGGGACTAGAGCAGTGGTTCTCAACCTGTGGGTCACGACCCCTTTGGCGTCCGAATGACCCTTTCACAGGGGTCGCCTAAGACCATCCTGCATATTAGATATTTACATGACGATTCATAACAGTAGCAACATTACAGTGATGAAGTAGCAACGAAAATAAGTTTGTGGTTGGGTCTCAACATGAGGAACTGTATTTAAAGGGCCAGAAGGTTGAGAACCACTGTACTAGAGCGACAAGTTAAATAACATGAGAAAACAACCAGACAAATACAGACTGTAGAACACTGTACTAGAATCCTACCTTGGGCTCTTTAAGAGTCAATGTAAAAAAAGTCAATGTCATGAAAGAGAAAATGTACCTTTGATTGGATTCTGGTTTTTAAAGAAAAGTTACAAAAGCTAATCTTAAAGTGAATATGGTTTTTGCTTGCTAGTACAGAATATCTGATAATGGTTTTGTAGTTTTATAGGATATTGTTCTTATTCTGAGGAAATGCATGTATTTAATAATGTAGTTTATGTATTTAATAATGAAATACAGTATTTAATGATGAAATATTATGCACAACAATTGTCACCAACAAGTGAATGAAAAAACAAATTACAGGACAGTACCTGGCACAAAGGAACAAACTTCTGAAATATGCAACAACACTCCACACACCTGTGCCACTAGAGACTCCTTGAGATCAGGATCTGTTTCCTCTTTTTCATCATATTCCCAGTTACCTCGCAGAGAGCCTGACA